GGAAGAGATTAAAGAGAGAAAAAGGGGGAATATTGTGGCACTTTGAAGCCCATTTATGCGTCCAGAGTGAGGTGCTGGTTGCCTTTGGCAGCTCTGGTGTTTGTCACACCCATTTATAAGACACAGAAGTTGAGTGACAAGCAAGGAGAACAAGTAATCAAACCTAATTTTTCCCCAAGCCCAACAGTGTTTTTTACAAATGCCACAAAATTCTTCTTGAAAATTTGTATATGGTTCTTACTGAAGTTTTCAACATAATTAGAGACTGTTGGACATTTTTTTAGCAGATAACTTTGACAGAAGGGTAAATGTTGAGCTTAGGCAAGGGAATAGCCTTCTAAGGAGGATTTTTGGATTTCTCTCTTGGAAAAAAAAATGTGCTGGATCTTGCTGCAGGGGTTGAAAATCTACCTTGGTGATAGACTTATTTGAGTAGGGATATTCTTTGTGCAGTGAAGCGATAGTAAAACATCACAATGACACTTCAAAAGATTTAAATCCATCCTAGAGCTTTTCATCATTTGGTTAATACAGAAAGGTGCCTTTCTATTTGTTTAAGAACAGAGAATCTGCAAGCAGGCAGGACTTCTCATTTTAGATGAGGATATACATAACTTCTTAAAACAAGAGTTTTATTGTTTTTTTCCCAAGAGCTTAATTTTATGGTGGAAAAAATGTATACTAATAGTTACTCACTACTAAAGCTACCTTTTAAACTATTGTTTAACCCTTTAGAGAGAAATTTTGGGTTTAAGAAGGTGTACTGGTTTGACAGCCTTCAAATTCTACTTTTATGCATAGAGTTTCAGCCTAGGGCAGAACCATCTCATCACTGAACTGTTAAGAATAAGATGAAATATCTACCTCGAGCTATGGGAGAACATTTGTATCCATTCAGCATTTGTGTATTCTACAAAGGTTCTTCTATAAACCTACATAAGTCTTAGTAATGGAAAACTAATAGGTTACAGCATATAGTCAGTCAAATAGGGATGAAATCCCCATAGTTTGGGATTATTAAGGAGAATTTCGTCAGAGTTGGTGGGAAAAATATAGTAAGGTTTTCTAAAAAATAAAGGGAGGGAGATGAATATAGGCAGGATGATCTCTTTAATTGATACAATTCAGTTAACCTTGCTATTATGTTAGCAGAGTTTATTAATATTTTTGTGTGTAAAATATTGTTTTGTAAGAAAAAGTGTCTGATTTATGACTTTCATGGGTCACCACAAAAACATTGTGCTATTCTGAAATCAGATGCACTGTAACCTGATTCAGGAGTGAATCGCATGCTTTAAAATACCACAGCATGGAATTCCACTGATGATAAAGAGCTAAATATTGAAAACAGAAATGTACATTATAATATTATCAAGCCTAGAAGGTAATGATTAGATAGCTAAACATACTAGAGAAACTTCATCTAGTTTGGGAGGAGACAATGAAGGTCTCCTTGCAATTCAAAAAACTTAAGTACTGGTTCAGCATCATACAGAAACCACAGACAGTTCTTCACTGAATTTTAAAGTAACATTTTACTTTGAATTAGAGAAGTAGCAGGAATCGGTACATTGAATATAAGGCAACTTGAAGTGGGAGGAAAAGATGTGGTTAACAAATACCCAAAGGACTCTCCTGACATTCAAAATATGCAGGTCTAATTAGTGCAGCCATCCAGCATGTTACACAGTCTAAGTGCGAACTTTGAAATAGAGTTCAGGCACTTGATGTGAAAGACAAAGTCCACCCTCTTTGCAATACTGAATTGTTTCTGTTAGCTTTGTACTGTGAGCTTGGTGCTATGCCTTTGTGCCAGTTGAAGCCTTTATTCTGGATGCTTCCTCA